TGTTTTAAAAGAGTAAAAAAAAAAAAAACCAAAACAACCCTGATCAATAGTAATATAATAACACTGATCAATGATAACACTGATCAATAATATTTTGTATCACCAAAGGACAATGGGACACAAAGAATGCTCTGTCATTTCCTCAAGTGTCTGATCTCAGGAGTAAGTTTTCTACACTTCAGCTGTTGGTTCTTAAATAAAATTAATGTTTCAAAACATTCTGGTTTTGCTATTCTCAGCATTCTTGTCTTGTTTTCCTAATTAAAACCTCATGCATCAAAATACTTCACCACATTCTTTTCCTACTTTTTTTTTTTTTTTAAATTAATTTGCTGTCTGTTAAGTTTCTGTCTCATTTGTTCTGTAGAAAAGTAAATAAATGCATTGACAATTACACAGCTGGCTATCATCTGCCATCTCACTTAACAGCTCTGTGAGGTAGGAAAGTTAGTATCACCTTAAGAGGCGGAGAAACTGAGGCAAAGGACTGAAATTCTCATCACTAATCTGTGTGCCACTGGTGAAAACTAGGATTCCATAATTTCTCAATCTTAAATTCTGCCACATATTCTTTCTAAATTAAATTACCCTGAATCATTACTTATGCTGATTCATAAAGGTAATGTAACACATTGCTAAGTATTACAGTTCCTTTTTATCAAAACCCTAAAAATAATGAGCTCTTTTAACTAGAATAATAGCTCTTCAAAATACTGTCGTTGTTTGTCCGTATTACTAAGGTCCTTTCAAGTCAGTTTATATTAAAGTGCTTAGTGGTCAATTATTTTCAGTCACCTGAATTCAGAAGTTACATAAATTCCTTCAGAGAAGTCAGCTGCCAAATACGAGCAGCTTATGTCCATAAAGGCCATAGCTCTTTTTTGCTGCAGTCATGAAGAATTTCACTATTACTGCCAAGATTTGACTGCTAAAGCATAGAACTGACTAGTGCAAATGCTTAGGCACAATTTTGATTAAAACGCGTACATTCTTTTTCTGTGCAGAGGCAATACAATGGCATATAGCTTACTCCATCAGCAAGCATTCCAGAGAACCTTAAAAAGGTGCATGTCTGCAAAACATTTGGCAAAAGAACAAAACAAAGGATCCCATATCCTGTTTTACAGCATAGTACAATTAAAAAGAATTGTCCAACGTGTCTTTGGAGAGTATACTTAAAACCAACAGAGCTAAAGCATCCGTTCTGCTGATACTCGGCCTACCTCCAGAATTCTACTTCAGGTAGGGTAAGGCGTGAGCAGTGTACCACCTAGCAACAATAGCTAATATGTTGCTTCATCCATATTGTCATCACTGCCAGCACCAAAGTCATCTCCATCTTCAAAATATGAAGAAATGTAGTCATTTTCCTAAACAAAAGGAAAAAAACATCTATCACTGTATCTGTGGAGGAGGCAATTCATGAAAGAAACACGCTTTAAACTGCACTTGAGCACCCACGTTTTGAAACAGTAATAGTTTCTTCTTTCCTTATTCCTTGGGAAAGAAAAAGGAAAATACTGCAATGAAATTCTGATGTCTATGAAAGAAGAGGCATCACTGGTTTAGTGATGAAAACGAGTAATTGTATGTATCGATTGTGGCAGGACACGTTCCTGCTTGCAAGATCTTTTTTTCAGAGCTCTTTGGGAGTAACAAATCTAAAACACCCACTTAAATTAACTACAACACAACGTAGCGCAACAAAGAAAATTAATGTAATAATGCCTCTCACTACAACTCTCTCTCAGCGTCAGAGAAGCTAGGGACATTTCTTTCACTGACAGCCAACACGCTCCGAAATGAGTGGGATCTGACTGTGTAAATAGGAAAGCTAACATTATACCTCTTCATGCTCCTCTTCATCATATTCCTCTGGTTCTTCTGCTTCTTCATCATCTTCACCTTCTTTGTCTTTTGTTTTGTCTTTCTCATCTTCAGATTTTTCTTCTTCATCATCCTTCTTTTCCAACTCCTGTCACAAGGCAATCTCCTTTACAAGGTAATCCCATGTTACAGCAACAGCATATCCTCCATGCTACCAAAATGTTATGCTGCAGTGAACAGTGAGACAACTAGCATAACAACGTTGTGCAAAAGTTGTTTGTCAATATTTAGAACAACATGATGTGAAGCGCGAGAACTTCATAAGGACTTACTTGATCAAGCACTAGCCATCGGACCTGAAGTCTAAAAAAGTATGTCTTGTGTAAGAAATTGAGATGATGATTCCCCTTTACCATCCACTGCTGGAATAATTGACAGTAGAAGGCCATGTCATACTTGATGAAACAGTACCACATACTGTATATAATAATGTATCTGTGCCAAACAACCGATGGATCACCAAGAGAAAAAATAAAAGGCCGTTTCACCTTTAAGCTTCCCATTCCCACATGGTTGGTAATCACCTCCAAAACCAAGGTCACTTTCCTCCCAAGTTTCTCTTTCTGTGTGCTTCTTCCCTCTCAACTTACTAAATTGTTTAATTTCCAACATCAGTAGACTGGCAGAACAGCAACAGATTTAAACGCGCTGGCACCAATTCCTCCTTCAATAAGCTCTAATAGTAGCTCTGCTGTTCACAATTAGGCTACATCGCTACCCAGTGAAGAACAACTGGTTGTTGTGTTCAGAGTCAAACAGGAGCAAAGAAAATAGTTTCTCCACAGCCAGGCTCTATCCTCCTCCCTCTCCCAACCAAGGCTGCTCTGGTTATTCCATTTGGTGCCAAAAAACATACTAAAGGTTTCGTTTTCCTTCAGCAGTTTCTATTGTACAATTTAGAGGGAGTATGCACATCTTACCTCAATTTTTTTCAACACATCCAGATTACTTTTAGGCTCAGAGCTTTTTGCCTTTTTTGGTTTTGCACCTGCTGAAATAAAATACATCACAATTATTTTTTTTAATATGGAAGAACACAAATTCTTTTCTTTTACTTGCTCTTAAGAGCTTACGTCTTGAGAATGCCATGGAAATCCCATACCGTCTGTATTAAAATTACCTTAGACTTTGAGCTACATCATTCATGGAGGTGTAAATGCCCCATTTATGTAAGTGATGCCTGTAGGGCCAGTCTGAAATTCACTTTGAACAGACAGTTGACCAAAGGTTTGGCCAAAGTATGATGTTCAGCTTCACAAAATACTTTTCACCCACATACTTGCAATATGTTAAGAAACTAGAACAGAATCTCAATTGTTATTTTTCATCATCTTGAAAGGATAAAAATGCATTAATGTTACTAATTTATGCAACACATTAATGACAGCTGGGTGCTTCAGGTAGATAGACAAAAAAAAGGCAGACAGCAGAGTTTATTAGCTCCAACACAGTAGGCATGGTTACTGCAGCTAGACGGCTTTTGGACCACAGTTGGCTCTCATACAGTGAGTCCACAGTGTGTATTTTCACCTAGTCCCCTGATTCGTGAACACCATCTTTATCAAGTTACTCCCTACAATCCAACCTCATTATGCTATGTAACTATATGGTGGAGCGAAGGTAAAAATATCGTTCCATATACCCAGGTAAGAGCTACCTGAATTGCAGCACCCTAAACGAAGGGAATAGCTGCTCCAGTTCCAGGAGTGCAGTTTGACCAGTAGATGAGGAGAAACAAAGAGCTCTGTACCGAGTGCGCCTTTAGAGAGCTCTGTGAGACATGCTGTTTCCATGATGTAACTGTCTTTCCGTTCTCCTGCTATATTCAGCACGATCACGTAAAACTTAGGACATAGGGCTGTACCTACCACAGATTAGCTCTTCTCAGCAGGGTAAAACTGCCTGGGTAACGTGCCATAGAAAGAGAAACAGTGTGCCTCAATGGAGGGGATATCCTTTCTGGAGCAGATAGTAACCCAATGCGGTTATGTATTTCATCTGGCCTAATACTTAAAGGAAGCAGAACACTAAGAGCTGCTAAGAAGACAACTGCATTTTGTCAAAAGCATTTGTCATAAATAACATTCAGTTCATTTCAGTGTTTTGCCTAGGAACGGATTACGTGACAAAAGCACTGCATGGAGCTGAGGGGAGTCAAGCTGCTCTGTAATAACATATGAACAGCGTCAAAGCAAACACATCCAGAATGAAGTAGGGTTTTAAGGAAAACAAGTAGAAAGTGCGATTCAAAATTATCATTTCTGCACAAACCCCTGCAGGCTTTTAGAGATAATGCCTATAGAATAAACAGCCTGGAAATGGAAACAGACATGCAAGATTTTTCCCGAAATGCTGGGTGTCTCCAGAGCTTATCATAAAATTAGAGACACTGACCAACCGTTAGTAGAACTTCAAGCAAAATAGCTCCTTACATCCATGCAGCTTTGAGGTGCAACGGAATACAATCTAATCTTTCCAAATACATGTTCTCGCAATACTTGGGCTTAAATGCATACACCTGTTTGCTATATACCTATGCATATAGCTGGCCTACAAGAGCTGAACCCAGTCAACGTTTCATTTTTTGGCTTTTTTTTTGGCAGGCACTGCTGGTATCTAGGGTACCGTGGTCCACAGCCCAGGCTAAGGGCGGGGGAGATGTGGAATTCTACCCAAAGTTTTGTCACTAAGAAGGCAGGTGGTCAGGTCTTAGGTTAAAACATTCAGGGAAACCGGAAAGGGGGAGGGAAGAGGTGTATAGAAATGAAGCTGTCTCTGTACATGTAACCGTGTAGTGATCCCAAAGCTGCTCCTGCAATCCACAAAGGTAGAATGGTAGGAAGGCTGTTTGAATTTCGGTGCAGATTCTCTTGACTCCCTCACCTTTGTTCCCCTCAGTTATAAAGTGTCACCTAAGATGGCTGTCCTCAAAATACAACAAAGATATATACCAGAAGGGCTAATGTGTCACTGATCAGCTATTTACAAACCTCCTGAGTCATATGACTTTTGTATGGCCTCTGTGTCATCAGGATTCCCCCAAAAAGCTAAACACGTGATTTTTGCTTTTAGAGAAACCTATTTTTTTAATCCAATCAAATTCTGATGGTCAGCTGATCTTTGCCATTACAATTATGTAAGAAAATGTACTTTTAAAAGCAAATAGAGAAACTGGCACAAAAGAAGGAGGAAAATTCCCCCACAGTGATTCTCTGTTTACGATAATCACAACATTATTGTAAGAAGGAATACTAAATCGGCATTTATGATTTCATTGGCTCTTGGGGAGCTAATTATAAAAGCCAATGCAGTTTCTTCTTTTGAAAAAAAAGTAGGTATGTACTGGTTTCATCTTTAGAGATTTTGCCAAGTAATTTTCATTTGCATCTTGCAGTCTACCTTTAGTACCATGCTTCTCAATGACGCTCTTAAAAGGAACAAAGCTTCCAGCTGAGCCAGTCTCCATGACTACTGCACATTCCCTTTTCTTTTTCTATTTTATCCTTGAACTGAAAAATGACACATGAAGGACTTGGACAAAGAGAACAAGAAAGTAAACAATTATATGTAACAGACAGCTAAATACAGGAGGCCAAGTGTTATTTCACATCAACAGAGCAACAGACTTCTACAGAGAACTTAAAATAACAGTCATGCATACTAGAAAACACTTCGAAAAACAAATACACGTATGATGCTGTGTAATAAAAAAGTTTTTTCCTGTAAGAACAACCAATACCAGCTCCAACTGCTGTTGAAGGATCTGGTTCACAATTCTGCAGAAGAAAGCTGAAAATAAACAAAAAAAGTAAACCCAGGGAAAACAGAAAATAACCAACATTAAATCACATATAAAAGGCTTAAAAAATGCAAAAGTCAACCAAATCATAAACAAGATAATTGATAAACCCAAAAAATAAAGGAAATCTGAACCACTGGCTATTCATTGAATAGAAGAACGGTGAGTGTTGACTAAAGATACAAACTTTCAAAACAAAAAGTTTTGTGTTTTTTTTAATCTTTCACTGTTACATATCTGGTATATTAATATGGTACATTAATATGAAAGGCAGGAAAGGAAGATAAATCTGTTCCAGTAAGTTAAAACATCCTACAGAAGCAAAGCAAAAGCCACAAGAGACAAACAGACTAGTAAATTATTTAGAAAAAAATCTGCCAAAAGCCCTGATTATTTGGACTGTTTAACATTTCTACCATTTTTTTTTCCCTCACCAGCTCCAGTATGTCTTCTATCACCCAACTAGTGTGTACTAAATGCTTCTTAAAAATATATAAAATACCTTTTTTGGTCTTTTTCTTTGGCTTCATCTCTCTTGGGAGTCTTCTCCAATCTGTACAGAAAATAGCTTTAACACATACGAATGATGATTGACAGCAGTAATCCTCCCCCGCCACCCACCAAGGAAAAGCAGGGGCCCCTGTTGTGCTTGATCCTATTTACATGCACGCTTAAGTGTTTTAGCACACAACAGTTTTATGGAATTCTAGCTGTACTTTAAATTGAGGAAGTAGAGTGAGGACTGGCATTTCACCCACTTAATGACAACTGGCATCTGCCCAAAGAGATAAAAGTTCAGCCTTTCCAGTGGCCCACATGCCCTTCAATTTACATTCTATAATTAAGTTTGCAGTAGTGAGCTATACAGATACGGTTGTGGAAGTTTAATGTTATAAAATCCAGCTACCTGTGACTGAGACATCAGGTTGGGTTATTTTTAGTAACACCAATGTTTGTTCCCAGTTCAAAACTGGTTATCTGCATGGTGAGTAAGGAAGAAGGAAAGCTAGAGTGAGAGCTAAAGCTTGCATTTTTGCTGCAAATCAGTTGTTTCTACTGAGTAAATAAATAAAATCAGATTTTTTTCCTTTTTTTTTTGGACAAAACAATACTTCGCCTTGATCTGAAAACATGCAAAGGGCATAACCCTCAACAAGGAATATATGACTTGGTAAGGATTTGCATACTTTTTTATTGCTTGAAAAATAATGAATCAAACATTTTAAAAAGCAGAACATTTCACAGGTTAATAAAGAATTAGCCTTTGATAATCTCAGATATTACCTGGGGTCCAGGCTGCATGCTCCTTTTCACTGTCCTGGTATTTTTTACTGTACCTCTCAATTGCTATAGAGAAGGACACAAAGAGTTATTGAATTCAATTAATTAAAAAGGCAATCCAGACACTGTCCTTGATATTTTCCTGTAACTAAACATACAGTGTATTTTTTTAATCCCACATTGAACACTTTCTTGTGCTGTTGTCAAACACTTAAAAAACAGTTTAACGTCACTACTTTCAGGAGTTCTCATGACAATTTCCAGGATTAATCATTTGCTAAGTACTGGCAAGACCTGGATTTTATATCCCCACAAAAAAGGCAAAAACCCCAAATATTCCTTTGCATTTTTGGGGTATCTCCTTTCAATCAAAACACTCCCCCCCAAAAAAAAAAAACCAAACCTCCAAAATTATTATAATTTATACTTCTATCCTTGTAAAGCATGAAAACATAAAATGCAGATATAGTCAGGGAAACTACATTGAAACATCAAAGGAACGCTAACTCTTCTACTCTTCAACAGTTTCAACATCAAATTTTTGCTACAAAACCAGTCAGTAACATTTATCACCACTGTGCTAATCATAAAGAGTATCCAGAATTCCCAGGTCTCAGAAGGCCGCATCTCAGACTGATCATGATCAACTCCCAAGACTTTTAAGTACTTCTGCAATGGCAAAGCTTTGCAGCATAACAGATGTGTCCTAAACAGCAGCAACATATTTTAGTCCATTTAACCTCTTTCCAGGCACAAGAACTAAACTGAGAAATTCACTGTAAATAATACAGTAGTTATACAGTGTAAGTACATCCATTTATACTACTGCAAAAAAAATTTCTTGTACAATCTCTAATGACAAAAGCAGTATCAAAACTTAAGTATTTTTACATCAGTCCCATTTTTTCTTACCAAATTAGCATGCCCAACTGCAAAATCCACTTAATGAAAAATTACTGATTCTGATTGCAGTTAATAACTCGCTACCCAAACAGGGATAATTTTTGTGGGTATTGTACAAAAAATGGTAACAAAGACAGACGGTGACCTTTACAGTCAAAGACTTCTAACATACTCACCACAGAAAAGGAAGGGAGAAGGAAGATATCAGAAATGAAGCTCAATTTTAAACTTAGTTATGACGAGGGCAAGCAGAAGACCTACTTAAAACTGTGCAACAAAGAGCTTGCATTTAAAATGACGGTGTCTCAAGGGACATTTAATGTAGGTGGCCTTCACAGATGCTGTAGGAAACTGTCAGCACAGAGAGGGAAAGAAACTAATAGTTTTGATTTCAGCTCGAGGCTCTTCAGTGAAGAATTAATTGCTGATGCCATCAGTAAAAAACTACGTCTGACTGACTCTCGCCACTCACAGCTAATGAATTAATTCCAAACCACTGCTAAGGTGAGAGTCACCCAGTCACAGCAGATATACCTACAGGAAAAATATGAATGATTCATAGCTTACGAAGAGAGGAATGTAGAGAACTTAATAGAGAATAAGCCTGCTACTCACTCCAAATGAGTGTTGAAATGAATGATGAAAATCTATTCTATATGGCACACTAACGCATCAAAATTGCCAGGTAGTATTAGACGTGGCTTTCATTTACTACCTGAATAATGAAAGAAAGATAGCTAGCTATGTCCTAACTAATTAAAATGTTTCCCTTCTCACACTTCAAAGGACCACTTGGCTCACAGATGTTGTGCTGAGGATTTAAAACAATCCATTTGCTCTTGTAGCAAAGCCAATTTAAGAAGTTCCTGCCCACAGTCCCCCTCCTGCCTCTGTGCCTACCAGATGTTTTGATGAAATACAGGGGAGGAAAGGGCTGTAAACCAGACAGCAGAAAATATGAGTTAAAAATAATCTACCTTGGGGGAAGAAAGTGATTTTCTTAAAGCTAGGCCACTTCTGCCACATAATGCAGTCCCAGAACACAACTGCATACTGTGACTGAGATTAAAGCAAGCTTTTTAAGCTGCAGACCACCACTGACGTAATTATACCCCACCCCTCAGATGAGGCATTTTTGTACAACTAAAGGTTCAGTAAAAAGTTACCTCAACTTAGAAACTTACCCTTGGGGAGACAATGAGGACATCTGAAGCATTATTTGAGTCTACCAAGTGGCTGTCTGCCTGCTTTCCCTGCAACTGCTAGTTTTTGTAGAAAAACAGTCTTCAAAGCTGGCAGTTCTATTAAGGAGCACACTCAGCAACAGAGAGAGAACACTCCACCTCAAAAAGAAGGCTGCAGAAACAAAGACGATTTTGAGGTGAACAGTAAGAATGATCACGAGGCAAAGTTGGAAAAGAGAGATAATATGTTCTCATACAGTGGCTGGTTGCTTGGAAATAACCCTGACCGGCTCTCAGGCATAGCAGCTTCCTTTTTTGTGCCTCAAACGGAAATAGCAAACTTCAAGCCTGACAAAGATCAAAAAGCACAAGCCTCTGGTGAGATGAGAATCCAGAGATTGAAATTCGTTTACTCAGAAGATGAAAGCGGAGATGTGATAAAGAGTAATTTGGAATTCTTCTACCACCACAAAGGGATCTAGAAATGAAGATCAGATCTGTCCTCCTTGCCTCATTACCAAGGTTTTACCTGGCCGCACCGTCAGGGTCCACCCTGGGCCGTCAGCTTGTGCTGCACTACAGCTGCCTGCTGTGTCCCGGTGACTGCTGGGCTCCAGCTGCAGGTCAGGGGAAATAGTCTGCCTTTTGTGAGCCACAACGTCTGGTCAGCAGTGTGTTCACTGCTCGTACTGCAGAGTGCTGCTCCGTTTTAAACAGTGCTTTAGTACAAGAACAAGTGGACAATCAATAAGGTGTGTTAATCAGTGTTACATTCAAAGCCTAATAAAAAAAAAAAAAATTGCACACAGTCTCAAAAACCACTTCACCACGAACAAAAATTAACAAAAATTCAGAGGGGACTGGACTATGTACCTGCATCATATCTACATCATGAATATTCAGTCAGAAAATATTCTGATGGTTTTGGGGTGGAAATTAAACCTCATGTTCTAGAGTTCAAGTCGTCTCTCATTATCCAAAATCAGCACAAGATAGCAAGGAAAACATTACCCAGTGTTTGTCGACTTCAGATTTCTTAAACATTTTTATAAAGCTTTTTACCGACTGCCTATTGCACTGACTGGGCCTAGGGACTGACACACGTGGCATTTCCTAATATGTTGTATTTCCTATTTTCCTGTAACAGCACTTACCATTTATACTATTCAGAACAAGCACGCAGGAGGGTGATAGAACTAGGCAAAAATCACTAATGGAAAGAAGCACTCCTCACAGTAATAACCTCCTGTGACTGCTAGATTTAAAATACCCCCACAGCAAGGTAAACAGACATTAAAGTCTTCCCACCCTGCTCCCCTTTCCTTCTTTCCCACTAGCTCAGTTTTCTGACCAGGAAGCTTGGATTTTAACAGTATAATGATGTATGACTGGATGTCAAGTATAGCAGAGCATTTATTGTTATCGAACAATAACAAAGCAGTCAATTTTTAATTACACATAAGCAAAAGACATTCTTAGGTCAAGTAGAGTAAGATCAAGCTTTGGCTTCTAATCCAGCTCTGCTTCTGATGCAAACCTCAGTAAATCACTTATCCTCATCTCAGTCTTCGTATTTCAGGTGACTTGTCAGTAATACTTACCAATCTTTCCTGGATGGACTTAAGGGAAAAAAAATTAGTACCTTTTATAATGTCCAGCTACTAAATATAACACTGGTTGTTTTAAGTATGTCTTTACACAATTAAAATGGAATCTGAATTTCAACACTAGTATTTACTACAGATTTCTTTGCTCCAATGCAAAGTTTTTAGGGTATTTTAACATGTAGAAATGCCTATTTAACTTGTATTGGTTAGCATATAATTGAAAAGACTGCATATAGTTGGTCTAAAAGTTTCTTACTGTATATCAAATGGAATAGATGTTTGATACCTCTCTTTTTCACACAGTAGTTGCTTTGCAGTTGCAGCACTTCTAGGTGTGACCTACAGCTTCAGTAAGTGTAAAAGCAGAAAAATTCCCTATTATCTTAAGTTGCCAATTTTTATTCTTCATTATCAGTACAAAATACATCTTCAACACATGCATTTCACTACATCATCCTTCATGGAATAATTACTACTGAAGATATAAATAAAAAGCACACAAACAAACCTTCACGATCTTCTTCTACTGCCAAAAAATATGGCATTTTTTTCATAGTTCCTCTAAGATCTTGTTTTAAGGCCAACATGTAATCTTCATCTTCTCCTGTTTTCAGAGGCACTGGCTTATTGTCTGTACTCTGTACAAATTATGTTTATTATTTATAAGGTCTTAATATCCATCAAAACTATGCATTATGCTACTTTGCAAGTATACTTTATTGCATTCTGACATGCATAACTACGTTTACAACTAAATTTATACCTTTTATGACTTCGCTGTATCTTTCTGCAAAAATTTATCAAGAAATCAAGGGAAAAAAAGTATTAAAACTGTGAAATAGTCATTCATAGTCATGTTAAGCTCTTAATAGCCAAAAGCGTTTTTTCAGAACTGCCTAACTTACTCAGAAACCATTGCTCCTCTCTTCAGTCAGAGTAGTGCTGGCCTTAACCTCTTCTAAAACAGTGTTTTAACTACATTAAGTATGATTACTCTGAGTAACATGGACACCCTTTCCATGACTATTGTCACAAACACAGGTTGTACTGTCATACAACCAGGTAGCACACAGGCCTTCACACAACTCAGTTTCTGTCAACTGAATTTAAATGAATTGTTGAGGTTTGGATTTTGGGGTTTTTTTTGAACTATGAATCTTGAAATTGGGAAAGATAAATAAGCGGAAACAGTTTTAAAAATATACAGAAAACTTAGAGCCAGAGACACAATTACAGAATGGATGTTGTTTCTCACACGACAGATGGTGCACAATCAATACCTGGGCGGTAGGTTGCGAAGCACAAAGTGCTATCCCAGAGCTGGATCACAAAAGGAGTTTACTGCTTCCAGCTATATTTGCTAGCTGGCCAGCATTTTAAATCACTAATGTTGCTGATGATAAGCTGATGGTCCTTAATTGCATTTCTAATTGCACTTACAGGAAATTCGTAAGAACTCAAAAAGTGGCTATTAGAAATATGTAATAGCAACAATTCACCGCTTAAAATAATTTCAGTGTAAGTCACTCAACAACTGTAATACACTTTTGGTTGCTGCCCAATCATTAAATCTAACTCTTGAAATTTTTATCGATACTTGTTATGCCACTGGGTTAACTTTTGGTTTTTTTGAATGGCACTAGCTTTCCCCTTCAAAGTTTAACTTAGTTCTGAAACTTTGTTCACAGAAGGAAGAAAGCATCTTTAACTTCTCCATGGTATACATTAGCTATATCGGGGCTAGTAATTCTCTTACAAGGCTGATGCACTGCTGACTGTAAGTGCAGAAGCTGAAATCACACAACTTAATTGTAAAGGTAGACTAAGAGGATATGCAACATCTGGTTCCGTAAGTCAAAACCTTGGGTGAAATAACTGTTCAGAGAAATCTCAGCATAGCACCAATTATAGGCCAAACTTGCAAGTTCTGTATCGTAACATGAGATTGAGAAAAATTTCATGCACACCTTGATCAAATCCTGACATAACTGGGAAGTTCTCTTATATAAAACTGCAATGTTGTTAAGACTACTTTTCAGCCTCAAAATTGTCCAAGCTTCCTTGCACAGCAAAACTCAGTCAGAAAATGCTCTTTCTTCTCCTTTAATTTTCAAATGTATCCCAAATGCCAAATCTCCATTTCCTTAATTACATAAAGTATATCTCAGTTATTTTCAAATTCTGGCTACTGAGGTACAAGGCAATAGTCCAAAATTTTTATGTTTGCATCAACAGTAAATTTCTAAAATCAGCAAATCAGCTTCAAAGACTAGTGTAACTTCATTACAAACAAATTCAGATATCCAGTGTTCCCGTTACTGTAACGTCCAGAAAACCAAATCATGATGAGGACTTTAACGAACCAACGTCTTGCAAGCAATCTAGCTAAATACGGGATACAACAGTTAGCAAAGAGACAGGAAGTAATAATAAGAAAAACAATTATTTACATTAAATGCTTCAAAATCAACCTCAAGTGCTTAGGGTTGTTCATGTATTTCATGACATTATCTAAACGCGACACTGAATACACTTTACCTGAACGCAGAGAGTGTGCTGTAAGATACTTGCTGTACTTACGGGAAATGGCGGCGGAGGCTTACACATGACATCAGGTAGAGCTGCACCTTTAGCAAAGCCAATAGCCTCGATGTTGAAGGTAAATGCAGCACGTCCTCTTCCTCTACCTGACCCAGCCATTTGGAGTTACTGAAAATAGTACAGATATTTAAAGATTCATTTTTGTTACAGGTATCGAATACATGTATGTATTACCTATAAAATTATGTCTAACATTGCAAGCAATCTAGCTAAATACGGGATACAACAGTTAGCAAAGAGACAGGAAGTAATAATAAGAAAAACAATTATTTACATTAAATGCTTCAAAATCAACCTCAAGTGCTTAGGGTTGTTCATGTATTTCATGACATTATCTAAACGCGACACTGAATACACTTTACCTGAACGCAGAGAGTGTGCTGTAAGATACTTGCTGTACTTACGGGAAATGGCGGCGGAGGCTTACACATGACATCAGGTAGAGCTGCACCTTTAGCAAAGCCAATAGCCTCGATGTTGAAGGTAAATGCAGCACGTCCTCTTCCTCTACCTGACCCAGCCATTTGGAGTTACTGAAAATAGTACAGATATTTTAAAGATTCATTTTTGTTACAGGTATCGAATACATGTATGTATTACCTATAAAATTAATGTCTAATAAAGATCACAGCAATTTTCAAACCACTTTCAAAGATCGTTTTTAATGCCCATCTTACGTTCTTCCACATACTATAAATTTGGTACATGCCTAAAATCAACTCCACTCCCTCATTTCTGCTAGCCACCTCTGCATGCCTGAAATTACCTCCTAACCTAAGAATTGTAAACTTTCTTCTTCTAAACCTTAGATACACTGACTTGAGTTCAATCAGGGTAGAAGAACCAGAAAACAAGAAAAGATTAAAAAAAAAAAGAATTTCAAGGACTCTGAACTTTCCGTGAATAGATTTTGCAGTTTCTGAACTTTTCTCCAACAAACAGTTTGTGTTTGTCACTCACGGCTTCTTCGTCCTTCAGATTATTTTTTTTTCCTTTATCTTTGTAACTAGTTTTGGGTACTGATAAAGAGCCAAAAGCAAAGAAGTTCAAGGTAAAAGCATCAAAGGACTTTTCTTCACAACAGCTCTCTCTGCTCCACTCCAACATATCTGCAAGCTAACTGCTGATAAAAGGTGGTTGTTTCTAACTAAAAATGTTTCACCAAGAATATAGAAGAAAAATAGCCTGCAAAACTACATTTACAGTCACATCTCACCACTTCCACCGTTAAGCCAGTCTCCACCTCAGGATTGTATGACCCATGGGTTGGCAAGTAAAGCAAAATGTGAGAAACACATTTTTTGCAGGGGAAGATGTCAAGAAATGGAACCCAGGTGAAGCCTGGCTGAAGCAACGTGCTGCTGCTCACTCCCCAAGACCATGTAAAGATCAATTCAAGGCCCCAGCCCAGAAATCCCCTGTGCTGTTTACCATTAATTGCGAGGTTGGTTACCCTATTGCACCCTGCTTGGTAAGAACATGCCTGTTCCAGACTTACTGCTGTACCTGTACCATCACAACTATTCCCACCGTCAGTGTGCGGGTGAGGTAACAAGTTCAAACAGGAAATAAGAAACACTACAGTAACTACAGCTTCTCATACATTTGTCTAAAATATCAAGGAATCCAGGAGAGAATTATGATTAGGAGCAAAGAAACGCATACTTAAGATTAAGATCTTTTAAGATTCCCCCAAATGGAAGCAATGGCCTATTTATTAAATGCCAGTGAAAACCAGGTTGATACAAGTACTTTCCCACTTATTATTTTCAACAGGAATAAGCTCTGCTTGGATGAAACAAAATCACATTATATATTTCCACATCACTCAGCAGCACAGAAAACTGTCTAAAAATAAGCAGAAAGACCTAAATAAATCATTTTAAGAAACACAACGAAGCAAAATCTAAGCCTGAGCGTTTAATTAACTGGTAATAAAAGGAAAAAAACCAGAAAAAAAAAGAAATAGCAAACTCATTTGAAAACCAGGATGAAAACCAAGATATGAACCTGGCAGAATGGAGAAAGACAAAAGATACAGTAAAGCCCCAAACATGAGCAATTATATTATCTAGGTGTGAAAAAGGGGAACCAACAACAGAACACCAAAAAAAAAGTTAAAGGAGATGTGCAGCTAGCAAGGAGAGGCACACTGTTTGCATTAAATATAGTGAATATAAAGGTCCATTTTTAAAATGCTGCTTTAAAATTAATTGTCGGTAAGATTTTCTTGAAGTAGCATATTAGTCTGATGAGAAGTAACAAGCTTTAAAACTAATGGTATTTCAACTCAACAGTTTTACTGAAACTCGTGATTTTTTCAAGCATACCATAAACTGACAGTGACAGATGACTGGAGAAATTGTGAAGGAAAAGTTGGGATGTACAACTGAGTCACCAAGCATGACAAAGCTACCACGACGACTAGTGTTTTGCTGCCACAAGGGATGCCTAATGGAGCACCTGGACGCATTTTCGCGTTTACAGGTAGCTTGCGTGTCATTTACTCTACAAATGAGAAGGTGAATTTCCGATTTAAGCTTTTAAAATTCCTTCAAAACTACGTACGCTGTTGCTCGGGCAGTCAGTCAGGGGAAGGCTGCAGAGGCCTTCGGGAGGGAAAGGCCTGTGGAACCCGGGTCCCCGCCGGCTGGGAGGCGGCTGGTGCGACGGCGGCGGGCGTGAGGGGACTCGGCACTCGGACGAGCTCTCGTTATCGAACGTTTTCCTCAGAACAAAACTCTCGATTGTGTTCGGATCCTTGATTTTCAGAGGCGGGTGCAATCAGTGGAAGGGAAGAGCAGATAAAAGAGAAAGGACTGAAATTTAAACACTGAGATATTGTTTGGGTGGGTTTTTTTTTTTCCCACCTGATGCCCCTGAAGGTAAAAGGATGAAAATATTTGTCACGACGGCCGCACGCCCCTGCCATGTGAGAATACACCGCCTCCGCCCCCCCCTTGTC